TGAACAACATCTCTGGTCTCGCACACGTCACCAACACCAAGATGGCCGTCACGTTAGCACATTTCACTTATTTCTTTCAGAATGAGGCGAAAAGTATTAAAAGAGGTGAAAATCACTCCAAGTCTGGGCATGTTGAGAACTGTACATACACAAAAGGGGAGTTAGTCGGTTCCGTAAGAGCCAGCATGCGGGACCGGCTTTACAAGGTGTCGGTGAGTAACACGAGTGTAATGTGTAACGTTAATGACATCACTTACGCGACTCTGGGATTTGTAGTCTTTCTATTTGCGTATTTTTCATAGTCTTACATTATATTTCAACAGTTTTACGACAAACTGACTTTTTTGACATGGAAATGATTTTTTAAGATTGACAAACATGTGTAATTTGTGGCACAATTCAATACTTCAATGACTTCAGTATAATTTTTCCAAAATAAGGTCCCATGGGTCGGAAGGAGATGGGCGGGACTTCGCCTCTCTATGAAAAAATGTGAACATTGATGAACTGCAGTAGCTAAATACAACGAGGAAGAGAAAAGTATACACTGCTAAATTGCTGCTAGCTTAATGGCAATTTTAGCTAGCAAAGCAACTGTGAGCTGCATTCTCTGCTTTTACTAGAATTTATTAGATTTGAATATAAATATGAATAGTTTCAGTTTATAAAGACTTGTCACAAACAGCCAAGCTTTGGTCTGACGAAAGAAAAAGGTTCTTGGGCAAAATCAAATAAATCTATGGTTTCATTGTTTTTACTGTCAATACATTTTTTTGTTTAATTGTTTTTATTGTTTTGGACCAATTGCATTGGAAAAGTCGGAAAAAGTGCAAACCAAACGTTTAAGTGCCAATTGGTACAATAACAAAAAAAGAGTCAGTTGGAAAAAAACAGAACAAATCTGGAGGTTATTCTTCAAAAATGATATAAGCATTACACAAAAAAAATCAGTACATTTCTCTATTCATTCAAACAGTAATAGTTTGAATTCATTTACCAATGCATGACCCCTTGACAGCACACTTTTTTTTCTCAGAAAACGAAATATTGCTAATAAAGGGAGAAGAAGCACTGAAGTAATTACAGGTGTGATAGGTATGTTATGTTTAGTTATTTAGAGTGGCGGCATTGTGGCAATTGTGAAACCACAATGAACCAGATCAAATGTAAACAATATAATTAAAACCAAACCTTGGTTCTGACGTGTGAAGAGGCCTTAACAAATGCACAAGAAAGCTGAAACACCACTGTGTTTGCATTCTGTGAATAGTAGCTTGTCCAAAGGCAGAGTTACATAACTAAAGATATAGTAATTGAAAAGGTGTAAAATAAAGTCATTATACCTCGTCTTTCTGTTAGGCATGACTGCTTACTAACAACCTGCATAAACGGATTGTTTGGGAGCAACAGAGGCAAATTGTAAGCCCTTTGATGCTACAGAGGAATTTAGAGCTTTCTTCTCCTGGAAAATAGCTGTGTGCTATGTCTGAAATTGAATGAAAGAAGCTGAAATGCTTTGTAGAGCTGAGAGGAACTGAGTGTGATAATTCTTTGTAAATGTGTCATTACCGTCGACCCCTTTCACACGGTAATCATGTTTCAGTTTGTTAATATACAAGTATTGATCACAGCCGCTTTAAAGCTGCATTTCTCAGTTTCATTGCTCCTTGCCTTCGTACGGCAGGATGAAATGTGTATTGAATATCATTGCTCGCTAAAATGAATGTTGTTTTGTTTCACATTTACTTTTTTATTGTGTTGACTTATACAGAACACATTTCCGATAAATAGAACAAATGAATGTTGAAATGTGGGTGTGCCTTCGACTGTATAAAGAAGTCTCTCAGTGAAGCAAGTCCCTGCTGGCCTTCATGTTCCCATTGCCTGTGGCAGGACGAATGAGATAATATGTAGTCATTGTGCGATCTGGATATACTCACACATGCCGCTCTGATATCCTACATCAATGGGCTATTGCAAGATAATGACCAGCTCTGTGACAGCCCATTTGTGCAAAAATATGGACAGTGTGTAACTCATAACCCGGCCATATGGTTGTGAAGAATCTCATTTGGCTGTGCACTCCCACAAAGGTCTGACTCTAAAGAAAACCCAAAGCCATTTCTCTGCTGTTGTGAAGTCTTTGGACCCTCTAATAACCGTTTTCTGCAGCCGTCCTTTTTTTCTCTTGTTGCTACGATGAACACTGTGTGAATTTGCATAATCATCTATAGGTAAATGATAGTGTTGCGGCGCTCTGCTCTGGACTTCATTTGAATGGAAATTACACCACTTTTTGGTATGAAAGGAAATTGTTGAAGCGATAGCAAAATGGATGAGAAATTGTGTCTACGCTGTAGATGGTATCTATCTCCATCTCTTTGCAGGGTCTTCTGCATTTACACCACAACATGGATGAGTGAGGGACAGCAACCTCACATCGAAAAGAGTTTGGGAACAACATTTTTTTTATTCGTGGGAATTGTTTGGAGTCAAAGGAGCATAAGACAATAATAATTAACTGGTTGAAAAAAGCCAAGTACCAACACAAAAAATCAAAGTGAACATACACACCGACTGATTTCGCATGAAAATGAGAACAAAAAACCTTCAGCAATAAATAATGACATAAAAAACAACATATTGCTGGAAGAGAAATTCATAAAAATGAGACATGAAATGAAGCTACACGATGAACAGAAGAAAAACAAATGCAAAAAGACGAGTTGAGCAGACGAACATTGACGTCAGTTAAAAAAAGGAAACAAAAATGAAACACCTGTAAGTCAGTAAGGTGCTAGCAATAGATTTCCAAATCCATCATATTCTGTCTTTATTCTCTTGTTCTGTTTTTTAAATTTCCAATAAAAAAATAAATAACATGATCAAAGCAAGTTCAGAATAAGGAGGAGTTCCTAATACAAGATCTGAGGGAGGTGTTTTCTATTTGACTGACAGCTTCTGATGGTGAAATATTCATGCGACTGAAGAGAAACACCATCCAGAGAGACTAGACGTCTAATCTAACAACATTTGCTCCCCGCCTAAACAAATGTTCTTGTGCACATCATTTTTTATCTCCAGGCATCCCTGGGTAAAAATAATAAAATGACTTCTTTGTCGCGTTGCTACAGCAGTGAAATCAAATCAAATGGTCTGTCTATACAAGAGAACTTTTAAAAAAATCAACAGAAACTTGAATTTTCTGTACAATATTGACCCGCAAAGCACAACGGCTATGATGTATTAAAATATGTAAACATATTTGCTGTTTTGACACAGTCGTCTGTGACAACAGATAGAATCACACTGGTTCACACTGGAGTCTTTAGCCTGGATTTTTTTTCTTTTTTTTTTTAAAGATTGCAATAGTTAAATCCACAAATCTCAAACATTTCAGGAAATGTATAGAAAACTGGACAAAAGAAAAGAAAAAATGCTATCAGAGATTTAAAATTCAGAGAAATATCAGTGTGATGTGCATTTTTCCTGGTGGATCCACTCTTACACGCTTGAACACCATCTAGAATTTGGTTGCCATGCGTAGCAGTCCAATCCTTAGCTGAGACGTGTGGGGTGGGGGGCGAATATTGAGATACATTACTGTATCACATCTTGCAGAGCGGTAACTATGCACTGCCGAGTCAACCCTGACTGGTCATCATCCTTCAAAAAAAGGACCTAAATTCAATAAATTAATAAATTACTTACTAAATGAATAAACAAAAACAAACAAAAAAGTAGAAACGAAACAACAGCTTTCATTACACATATACTTTAGCTCATTATCGCATCCATGAAAGCTACATTTAATGAAACCGTTTGTAATGTGAAATCACTTTTTGACTTCCAACTTTCCCGACAATCATAGTTTCTTGAGGTCCCTCACTTACACAGATGCCAGCACCACGTCACATACACCTCACATGCATGCTCAGAATGGCCGAAATGACAGTGATCGTATTTTACAGGTTTACATTGGGCAAGGTCGTTAGAACTCCAAGGATCACACACCTCTTGACAGTCACTTAGGGTCGCGTGGATGTTTGAGCGATGTTATACACACTGCCAAATGTCTCCAGCAGGCACTCCTTAAAAAGATCCACGCTGAGTCCCGTTGAAGTTGCACTACATTGTCTCTCTGTAAAGCTTACAATAGTAAGTGTGCTTCCATAAGCTAAAGTTCTTTTGTAAATGTTTCAGTGACTCAGTAAGCCTTGAGTTCTTAAGATATTTTTATCCTTTTTAAATCACAGTTGCCAATATGGTACTGTCAAAATGTTTATTACTGTGTTCCAAACAGTTTATTTTTCTATGTGTTGGGAAATGACTTGAGTTCTATACATAATATTCCTTGTCCTTGTCTTTCGGTCTCTTGCTACCAGCGCTACCTTTGGCGCTGCCACTGGGTGCTTTATCCTTCACCACAGCGCCATTGGTTTGTGCCGAGTTGCTGATGTAGTTGCGCGTCTCGTCCACCTGGTAGGAACCCTCGTCCCTGTTCCTGTACTTGTACATGGCGTAGAGGAGGATGAGGATGCAGAGGGCGGCTGCTGAGACAATGCCCACCACCATGCCCGTGGTACTGCTGGATTCCCGGATCACCTCTGAGGCCCCCGGGGGCACCCGCCGCACCACGCCGGGCACCGTGGGCAAGGCGGCGGGCACCGTGCGCAGCATGGGCGAGGTGATGAAGGGTCCCCGGGGCTTGGTGCCGTCCAGATCGAAGGACGTGGGCAGGGGCAGCAGGACAATGTCCGGCTGCAGGGGTTTTACCTCGCGGTTGTTCATTTTCCCGGCGGGCAGCTTGGGTGGCGTGTCCGAGGGGACCGCCGGCGTGCCCCGGAGGTCGGGCAGAGGCGCGGTGGGGGTAGTCCTACCTGCCTCAGAGGCTTTGCTAGGCCTCAAGTCCTTGGCCTCCCACTTGGGCGCGAGAGCTTTGTAGCCGCCTTCATAGGCCGATGTGGTCAAGATCTTATCTGTTACCAGGGAGAAGGTGGTGTAAAAATCTTCATCGTCAGTCGGGGGCAGGCTAGAGTCGAAAGCTTCTCCAGAGCCAAACCCCGAAATCACCATGCCATCATCATCATCATCACCATCATCACCACCATCACCATCATCATCACAATCATCGCTGCCTCGGTCCGACAAGCAAGGTACCCCCGCCTCAGTGGCCATGGCCAAGGATTCTTTGGTGGTCTCAATAATGATGAGGACGGGGCGAAGGGTTGGGGGGAGGGGGATGAATGGAGAACGGGTGGATACAGAAGGGATGTCTATGGGTTCCTCGACTAGTATGGGGATAACTAGTTCCCCTCCTGGAAAGCGAAAGAGAGAAACAGACACAAGTCAGAAGGCAGAACGTCTTCTATCAGCAGAGCAAGAAGCAGCCGAACACCAAAAGAACCGTAAACCAAAGAACGAATAAAGCAAAGCTCAACAAAGGGAAGAAACATGAACTGAAGATAAACAAAGAAAGAAAGAACGGAAAATACTGTACCAGTGCAAAAACAAAGAAACTCAAACAAGACCCAAACTGAAAGGAAAACAACAGCCATAAATAAAGTATACATTGCATCAAAAGGCTTTGAGGGATGCACAGGGGTGAGCCACAATAAATGGACTCCGCAAACTAAGTCCTACTTATCCTGCATGTCCTCAGATCAGCACTGCCTTTATACTTCACTATCCACTAATCATAGTTATCAGATGTTCTATGTACACCAACATATCATCACATCAATGATGGGTTATATTTAGTTCCATTCTAAAATGCTTTATATGTCTCCACATAAATGACTAGTTGCGGCTTTTAAGAGGCGTGATTCATTTATCTTCAAGTGTAAATCCTTTTTAGTCAGTTCAAAAACGGAGCAGTGAAAGATGCGTTCTGTGGATAAAAAGGAGCAGAGGGTATTAGCATTTGTTTGTAATTTAAGTGCAAGTCAGTGGACCCGAGAGCAAGTTAACTAAGTCTGAAATGAAAAACTGTTTTTTTGAAGGTGTTTTATTAAGCTGCTGAGAGATGCGCTTTTTAACCCCGTTGACTTATGCACAAGAACATATACTAACCAAACTAAAAGAGAAAAAGGCCATGAGCCTCTTAAAGATGTGACTGGCTTTTTAAGTCTATCAAAGACACAAACACAAGGCTGCATTGTCAATTCAAGGGAAACATACTTTCTCTTGGATATTGTTTGTTTTTGAGTTATGATAAATCAATTTTTTCAAGTTTGCTCAAGTCGACGTAGTGCAGACATTTGGTGGGATAGATGGTCAAACAAAGTGATTTCTTCCTGGGGGGTATACTACGAAGTTCAACAGAGACAGGGTTTCTTTGAATGGCTGGCTTGACAAAACACACACCTACCCTACTCAGAGGTAACGGGTACGACAAAGGTGGTTATCAACCGTCTTTGTGAACCCAGACTTTCTTCCTTAGGCCATTTGCTAACCAGCGTTTTATTAGTTGCAATATATTAAAAAACATACTTGGCAATAAAAACATGCTGCGGAGAAACAAATGTAGGCCCAATGCCATGCATACAGAAGGCTCTACTGTAACCGCTGGGCTTCATTTGGTGCCAGGTTAAGAGAGCCACCTTCGTTGTATGGAAAGCTCTGGCTTTAGGCTCAACATACCTCTCTAGCCCATTCATCTGGCTTCATAATACACCCCTCACGAGGCCTATGTTTGCGTCTGATGTGAAAAACAAAACTTGATGTTGGCTTAATTACACTTTTATATTAGTTTAAGCCAAACCAAGATCTTCTGCTCGAACTAAGCACGTAGTTTGGTTGGATTTTGTGTAGTTTTAATGCAGAAAACCAAAGTGTCTGAAAGGTTGACCAAAAGAAAAATGAAATTCGAGATTCCAGGAGATAGGTTGGAGGGTCCCACACTGATCTACAGAAGCAAACTGTCCCAGCGAAAAGTCCCCACTCACATGTCATAAAGAATAGCAAGTACAGCATTTAGTGGGCTCCCCTGTTTGCCCTAGCCTCTTGCCTTTTGACCCCTACAGTTACCACGATGGCACAAAGTCACCGGGCAGTTCAATCACACCTGAATGTTTGCCAATATGTACTCTTTAGTGAGAAAATCTTGCTTGTAACAGACTGTGTTTACCACTTAGTACTGATATTATGTGCTTAAAAAACATTCCCACATTCACTCATTCTAATAAATCAATTTGGGAATGCTAGATACCACACGCTTTATTGGTTAAGCCTATTGTTGGGCGACTACAAAGACTTTGAAACATTCAGATGTCTATTGAAGCTGCTTATCCTCTTGCCAAAGTGGCTTGTTTGTACATTGCAACGGCTCACAAACAGGGCACTATAAAGAGATGCAAACCTTTAGGAACAATAAAAGAAAAAGAACACAAGAAATGAAGGAAAATTGAAATCATAATTAAGGCATTGCAAAAAGAGTTTAGAGTTAGAGCAAACATTGTAAAAAAACATTCACAAAGTAAAGCCACAGATAGAGCTATCCAGAAAGGGATTAGTAATAAGTACGTAGAAACAACAGGTAAAAACAAAGTCAGCTTGGAAAATCATAAAGCCTACCAAAAAAGAAAAAAAAACATTTTCAAAGGAAGAAAGCATACCATCAGTTTTTTCAACTTACATCAACAAATTGCCCGCATGATTTTGGCAGGAAGAAAAAATGTTTACAAAAGAAAGTTGTGTAAGAATGCCTTTGGACAAGTTAGGTTAGTTTCTTTTTTAGCAGTTTCTGATTAAGTAGTATATATTTCTCTTTTTAGACAGGATGGCACAGGGAGGCAACAACACATACATCCACACATCATGACATGAAAATAATCTTCACCATTCTGTTCAGGATATCTTTTTTTTTGGATAATCATTACATTTTTGTATAAAAAGAAAACTGTATATCTATAATTCTTGCTTTGATATATAAGTCTCTTCGTAAATATCTACAGCCGGATTAGATGACTATTTTTTTTCTTTTTTTGCTCGACTTTGAACTTCATTAATGAACAAATGGATGACTGTACATATCTTAGAATCTCTACGTAAAGGGATCGGGAGGAGGGAGTGTGACGGGGGGGTTGGGGGGNGGGGGGTGTGGGACCTATGAACATACTAGGAAGGAAATGACATAGATGGGGGTGAACGTGTACATCAGTTGCCATGTCCATGTAAAGGCGGCACGAAGCGGTCGGGCGGCATTAGAGCTTTTGGCTGTAAGGAAGGGATGGGGATATACAAACAATGAGCATATACATGCCCATCTACAAAAGAGAACAGCACTCTCAACACTGACAGTTTTACAAACCCTAAGCTGCAACTTCTTTGCCATGCACAAAAGTAATCCACTATTTAAATCCAAATTTCAATCAAAAAGTGGCTATCATATAACAGGAAATATTAGAAATCAGCATAAAAAACAGTTTGGAACACTTTTCACAGATAGTGGTGAGGGTGTACTTTGGAAGGTATCTTCTCTCGTTTCTCTATGGAGGATGTGAATTTGGAAACCCAATGCAGCTGTGTCCTTTTGACGCCAAATCTTTCAAATGAACCTCCTGTTTACAAAATAGTGATAATTCATAGAGAAAAGACGAAGCGTCATTCTAATTAGGGAGGAAATCATCATTACATTGGTAACTCTTAGCAAATATTAAAAATGTGAACATTTTCAGAAAAAGAAACATAGATACACATATATGTGTTTTTGAACATATATGTACAAAAAGACAAAATAAAAGAGATTGGCAAGCAAGAAAGAAAGGCATTAAATTTATCACACTATCAAAGATGAACAACCAGAAAGCACACACTGAGGCAGACAAAGAGGAGGGGGGACAGTTTATAGGCAAAGTGTCACCGCCTTCGCTTAACTAATAATAAAAGTTTATTATTAGTTACTTATACATTTCTCTTGTTAGTATTTTTTAAAACACGGGACAGGGCGTGCAATCTGGATGTACGTCAGAGAAAGAGAGGTCAATCAGACATGGTTTTTATTTTGGATTTGAGTTCCACTATAAGAAGTTGGGTTAATGCATGCTTAAGTAAGTTGCATTTAGGGAGAGTAATATACAATAACAATACAGCAAGCCATGGGACAGGTGGGGGGGAGGGGCTTAAGAAGGGGGTCCGTTAGAGCTCACTGCCACCAAAGGGCTGTGGGATATGTCGTCAGGCAAAGAAACCATTCATCAGCAGGGGAAGGGTTCATCATGGTTGATGTAAAACCAGCATTATGTGGCTTTTAGGCCCACTGCATTCACTAATTCATCACGAGGGGAAGTAGAGTTATAATTAATGAGCTCATTTTAGACTCAATGTTTGGATGCTTTGTGTTATGTGCATAACCAACAGCCTTCGTTCGACAGATGTTGAAAAGGGAGTTCCACAAGAGGGCTTATTATTATTATTAAACTATTATTAGCTTTATTTTGTAACAATATAGTTGTTATTAAGTACCTTTGATGACTTTAAATAGATGTGAGGCTCTTTTTTTCTTCAGATTTCAAGTTTTTTTTTTTAGTCTTCTGCAAACTGGTTCCCTCATCTATTACGCACAACTAGGTTTATAATAATAACAATAATACTACACACTGTATTGATTATTTATTATCAATCCTGACGTCTTAAATGTGCATTTCCTGCTTGAATTTCTGACATGCTATTACTCGGCTCTCTACTGTAGGAATGTAGCGCGTCACATAGCTGTGATATTATTCTACTGGCAGAGACAAACTCCCCGCCTTGTTAAATAAACAATAACAGCACACAGTAAGTGATTTCATCCGAGGCTTTATTCATCCAACTCTGCCCTTGCTGTCGTGGCCTTGTTTGCATCCTATCGCTGCATTCTCGGCTAACGGCTTTCGGCAACTGTTAGCTTTGCGCTATATCAACAAAACACTTGTTAGGGAGGGGAACCGCTGCAGTCGAGGGTCTCCAGTCAAGTCAGTGCAGAGGACCTTGATGTTTTGGTAAACACTTTAATCCTGTGTAAGCTCTTGCACAAGCGTTGCACATCTTGCTGCCTTTCTGAAGCAGACAAACACTGTGCTTTCTAATGGGTTTGCTTAACCAGAGTGCGTTTGTTTTCCGCACTCGTCAAGATGGATGGGATTTTATTCTAAGCCTCTGCCTCCCTTCCAAATAATTCCCCCTCTCCGCTAGATCTACAGCTGAATTCTCTGTTTTTATGCCTTTTCAAGCAAAGGAAGTCAGGACTTTAGATTAATAAATGTCGCTTATGCGCTAATGCTCGCTGAATAGCCTTCAAATCAATGAGACAACCTGATACTATCTTTTCAAACCACAG